ATCAGTGATCTACGCTTAGAGCGATTGGCTGCGTGTGCTCAGACTGTCGTCCTGTCATTGGCTGGAATCGGCTGCATGTGAAATTTGATTGGTCGATTGTAGGCAAGGCAAAGCATCACAGTGTTGTTATCCCCCCCACCCCCACCCCCCGCAGTGCAGACTGTGCACATGTTTCAGGTAAACAAACCAGCCCCGTGCTGCAGTTTTTAAAGTGGAGGCTTTTGGTGCTAGTTTTACCAAGCTCATTCATATATTGTGAAACATATTTTGGTAATAACGTCTTAAGAAAAAGTCTGATTGATTATAGCATGTGGATACATATAGTTGAGCATAGACCTGCATGTAATGTATTAAAAGTCTTAACAAATACTCTATAATAGGAATCCATGTTGTCATCAAGACATTTGCTCTTTGTATTAATACTTTGCAATTACTGTATTGTAATTTTGTCAAATCATGATTTCATTTAGATTTTTTAGATTTTTTTTTTTATTTAATTGAGCTGTCAGCTCATATGCATATCAACGTCACTGGGGCACTGTTTGATGAGATGACACTCAGTTAGTGAATAATGGATTACGCATCCTTTGACTCTTACTCTGACTTAATGTACTGTGAGAATCCTTATATGCATGGCTAATTTAGTAAGTAATTTAGAGACACAGCTGGTGGAACCAAATTAATTTACTGGTAATGGCTGTCAATAACAATTATGTGAGGAATAAAGCTTTTGTATTTCTCCTTTCAGCAAATCCAGACCCGAGTGAATGTGCTGTACTCCTGTTGCTATAGTAATAGCGGACACTGCCCCCTATTTTAGACTTGTTTTCTGGTTGCTGTTGCCATGGGATTTGCATCTCTCTCTCTCTCTCTCTCTCTCTCTCTCTCTCTATACCTGCTGTTTTCCTCCCACCTCACCTCTGTTTCTGTACCCCCTCCTTGTCCAACCACTCCTCTATCTCGTTTGCTGAGTTGCATCTCTGTGACATTATCATCTTATTTCCAGTTCTGCTGAATTTGCATATTAACGGGACACCGGCGTCTATCCTCTAATAGATTTGTCCACTGGGCAGCATATCTGTGTATTGAGGGAAAGTCGGGAAACATCTAACTTCATTTGACTGCACATAATCACCTTATCCCAAATGGCTACAGAGGAGTTGTTCCACACAAAGAGAAACATGGTGTTTGAATAGAATTAATCCACAGAAACTATTGATTTTTGAGTAATATGCTCTGTGTAGGACTGTGATATACAAGTCCATCTGTGTTAATCTGAGTCATTTAAAGTGACAGCCCTGTTACAGCGGAGCTATTCAGCAAAATGCCCACTTTGCGGTAGCTACGATATGAGTGGAGCTTTGAGAGATTTGTAGAAAGGCAACCTGATGCAATCTAGATAAATGTAGTTGTAATGGAAACCAGATTGAGATAGTAGTAGCTGGTGAAGTTAGAGGGTCTCCCAGGAAATCGCTGACTGCTCTCTCTGTCTGTATTAATTGGTCCACCGAGGGCTTCCTGTTTGCGCATCATGAAAGAAATCCAAGGTGTTCATGACAGCAGTGCTGCATTTACCAGTCATCACCACTATTAAGCACAATTTCCTTTGCCATAAATACATGTAAAATGTGTTAATTACACAGCAAAGTATCTTTAATCCTCCCTCTTGCTTTAGATAATCCAGTGGGCTTAATATCTCAGAGTAAAATCTGGATAATCTAAAATTTCCCAGTTGTTAAAACAGCACAACCACACTTAACCGGTGAGTTTAACAAGAGCCGTTAAACTTTGCATCAAACTGGACATCAGATATATTTGAGACATTTATTATCGCTTTCATAGCGAGACAAAGCCATCCACTAACTGATACCCACATTTATTGTCTGAATATTGTGTATGAGCCTAGAAGTCAGAAAAGTCGATGCTGCATGCCAAGTGCACGTATGGCACGTTAGTAAGGGTTACACCATCATTTCATCACCATCGCTCTCAGAATTTATTGTCCTCAACTTTAGCCCCTCTTTGAACATACGATGAAAACATGGAATTCAGTTACAACTTGTGAATGGAGGCTTCTCAGAGGGGATTTGTGGATGTTTTTGCGTGTGTTCAGCCTACAAATCACTCCCATTTGTGTCCATGTTTTGGCATGAAAACAGTTCATCAAGTCTCAAAAAAGTGACAAGCATAACATAATTGTCATTCATGAATGCTATCTAGGCTAACTTAATTTGCATTCAGCCATGACAGATCTGAAACAGTCAGTCACAGGGTTATGTTTATTTACTATTCCTCAAGGACTTCATGGTAAATTAGAGGTGTTTGATGTAAAGGACTAGAGCGTCTGTTTTGTCTTCCTTTGGGAGATCCCTCCTAACTAGCTCTAACCCCTAACTGGAGCTTGAATGAAGGTGTCGCTACAGGCTGAGCTTTGTGTGCCATACACAAAGCTCAGCCTGTACTGACCTTTAAATTTTACTCCACTACTTCAGTATCAGCAGGTCGGTAGATCAGCACATAGTGTGGATGGAAAATTGGTCAAAGTCTTGGAGAAAAAATTACAGAGGACGTGAAGCAAAACCGAACAACATCAGGGTCACAGATCTTTACTCATACTTACTGTTCGTGCATCACTCATGTTCCTCAAGATTTTAGCTCTTTAAAGCAAACAAATCCCTAATGGTTCCTTGGTGTCATTGACAGCACTCAGGTTGTGTCATGCTGCCCTGCAGAGACATTTAAATCCCAGAGGCTCAACGTCTATCACCTTTGAGCTTTACACAGCCGATATTCACTCAGGCCATATGCTTCTTGTTCATAACACAACTTATACTGTTCACTTGTCAGAGATAAACTCAACTGTCACTCAACATTATTTCATATTGACGCTGAACTTTTAAAGCCTGGCAGTTTAAAACAGATGGCTTTACTGTTTAAAAACATTACTTTTTTATTCGTCATCCTTCATCAGTTCATTTTACATTTTAGGCATGTTGTCCATGCAGAGCAACTTTATTTTAATTCAACTGTAAATGTAATTCCTACATCACCAAACTTGCAAGCAAACAAAACTACTGAGGGCAAAGGTCAAGGCCACGAACAACAGTGTTCCTCAAAATGATCATGTATAAAACAGAGCTAACATTAAGCTATAGCAATAAACAATCAATTGCATACACTCACTTTCTTTAACATGTATTGTGTTAATATTTGTACTATTTGAAAAATTATGGGGGTAGAATTAGGACTGTAGTACTGAACATATACAGTAGTATAATGGGTTTTCACACTGCAATAATATTTGAACGTACTTCAAATTCATGGCTGGTAGTCAATGAAATAAAAAGGAATAATATCCCACACTGGGGTGCAGTTTTGGTATTTACAGCCTATGTTTTGTGTTAGCCTCATTAGGTCAAGCGTTGGTGCTTTCACTTATTTTCCCCTCTGGATATTTTTCAGCTGTCATTGTTGTGCTTGCCATGAAATCCGAAAACATGTTTCTTTTTATTGTAATTTAATGATTTGTATATATTGTGTACCCTATTTTGAAATAATGGCATTTTACATCGCCTTCCAAGAGAGTGAAGATGATTTGTTCAAAGCGGTAAACATTAAGAGTGGAACTTCCACTGACGCATTTAGTGAAAGCTTCTTTCATCTGCTATTGCTTTAATCTCTTAAATTACTCTGAACTCACATGTGGATATGAAAACTTATAAATTTCAATTTTTCTGAAGTGCATGTGAGCAGAAGTCTTTGACAGGTGACAGGTGATGCTCTAAAATTTGCCCTCTTAGCGGAGATTTATATCCATTTCATCAGAATGTTTGAGTCTGCTTTCAGACGAGGTTAATATCACCCATTAATATTGACAAAATCATGCGAGACCCGTACTAATTCACAGCCCGACTATCATATTTGTGCTGTAAAGGCCTGGGGGAGAGGCCAGTCTGCGTGTGTGAAAGTGAGGGGAGATCACCCTTGGCTCATTAATATTTTACCAACAATAAGGCTGGGTGTCACTCCTGCTCATCACCACGGTAATGAGCTCACACGGGCCTCTTAAAGATCTGCTTATCATTCAGGCAAGCGCACCAGAGACTTAAAGATACTGAGTGGCACGATGTGTGAAAATCTTTCCCAAGGTCAGAGAAACGCAAATGGTGTGAGCGTTGCCTCTGCTGTCTGAGTCAGTAGGAACCTTTTACCTCTACTGAACTGAAGAGGGATGAATTGTTGATGTTAAAAAATGTCACTGAACATAACATGGTTTTCACTTTAAACTGGGGAATTAAATATGAACCCAAGTGCTGAATCTAATTGGTACCTGACAGGGGTAATGTGCTTTTCTGTGATTACCTACATGTCTGTTAAATATTCCACTGATCCCTGCAATAAATGAATCACAGACGCAGTCATTTATTATCATCTATCTGTACCTCTCTGCCACTGATTTGAACCAGGAGCATGAGAAGAGGCACTGTGAATATATTTTTATGGAGGAATTCATACAAGAGCATATTTATATATATATATTTTTTTTTTTACATGATTTCAAATTTCTCCACGTTGAATCATGCATGTTATGTTATGTTGCATGTAATTTCACTTCATGTTTTTTTTCTTCATGTAGCCTAGTGCAAGGCGAGCCATAAAATTAATTACACTGTGCCAGATATACATATGGCCACAGTGAGTATAATTTCAATACTTCTATTACTTCAAAACTATTTTAGATAGTCAATTAACTAATTAAACCACCTGACTGTTCTTGTGTAAATAGAGAAGTAGTGTTTTAAAGGGAACACCTATGGTGTGCTCTCATTTTAATGTGAATGCGAGCAGCTCATTAGAGATTATTTAAAGAAAGCTGGTAATTAACGACTTGTTTTCAGAAACACTAATTAAGAAAGAAAGAACTGGTTTGTAACTGGATGTCTTCAGTTTAGGCCATTTGTCAGCAACAAATGAGTTTATTAGACAAACAACCCAACAGATGCATGATATATTTTTATTTCTTAGATGTACATGGTAGTTTTACAATATCATTAGGCCTATAGGACTATAATTTATGTTATGTTTATGTTGGTAAAACACTAATAGGTTTTCTTTGACATATTCATGTAAAATACAGGATGCGGTTAAACACAAATGCTATTATTTGCATGACTGAAAAGCCCTTGGAACAATAGATAGTGATACAACATTTATATAATGTAAAAGTACAACAAAACATTACATAAAGTATTTGGCACCAAGTAATGTTTAACTGAATAAGTAACATATGACTCTTTTAAAATATTTTAGAATATTTGCTAATAAAATGTGTAAAATTTTTTGTGTTTTGAAACATCAAGAGATTATTTTTTGTTAAATACAAACTCAAGGGGGAAAAGTACAAATGTATCAAAAAGGGAAAAAAAGGCATCAGTTAGAGTAATAACACTGCATGCATAGATCAGCTTCACAGGTGGAAACAGTTTGAGCTTATATGAAGTAAGAAATCTTTATAGTGTTCCTCCTGAAACCTCAAAAATTATACTGTAATTAACTGACAATATAATTTGGTAACAGAATGTGATGTAATTGTGAGCTCCCTTCACATTGGCAGGTTGCTCAAACTATTTTCCTTCTCATAGCAGCTGAAAGACAAATACAACTCATAAATTCTTTCAAATGCATCAGGCTTTTTATGAGAGCCCCAGATTGTTCATCCTTTCAAATGTCCATCTGTTATACACCGTCAGTCCGTGTGTCATTGATTTTCGGCACCGGCTCCGGCAGCTCAGGTTGGCTCTCAGGTGTCTGGGTGCCTGCTCAGTCCCTGTCATCCTCCGATTCCGTCGCCCACTGGTCCCTCAGCTCATGAACTGCGTGTAGCCCTCGGCACCCGTTACTATGACATCCATCCAGATCCTCATGGCCTCTGGGGATGGTGCCACCATGTAGTAGAGGCGGTCGTGGGTTTTCACACAGAAGGTCAAAGATGGATTGGGGCTCTGGAAGATCACATGGAGAGGGAGACTTTTTAGACCAAAGACTGCAAGCTGCACCTGTTGCATTTTTTTCCTCAGAGAACAACAGACCAGTGTATTATAACAGTTAAAACATCATTGGATCTGTTTCGACCTTTTTCATAGCTTGCAACAAACCGCATATTTACAAGTTAATACGACAAAATAAAATTAAGAAGGAAAAACAACTTTCCATGCCTCTGAAAATAGATACCAATTGAAGACATTCCAATTTTTATGTAACATGTTTTTTTAGTGTTTAACTTCTGACAGTATTTTTACAGATATAAACTGTGAAAGTAGAAATGTAGCTTCATTTTAAAATGAGTATATGTACCATTTTAATATAAAACAAAATTATACATATTGTTAAAATAAAGTTTATTAAGAGTAAGTGATCCTATAAATTATGTTTTTTACTACAGAATCTGTATTTTTGAAATACTGAGCAAACATGAATAAGTATTCTGAAATTAAAACCTTCAGATGTTATTCCACTATGTTTACTGATAAAGTTAAAAATGATAAATATCCATGCAAAACATTATAAAATCGCAGATGAAGTTCTGAATTATGAGTAATTAAAAGAGAGTGTCGGTTACCTTGGTGGCACTGCGTAGGTGATCGTAATAAACCTCTTCAATCGCCTGAAAGTAAATGAGTCCTTTCAGCTTGGTCTCATGCTTGTCTGAGGCAAGAAAAAGAAGAAAAAACAAATTAAGATACATTACAGAACGTCTTGCACTGATGCAAGACCTCTGCCAGCCCAACCAGCCAGTGATGTAGGGATACATTACATGTTTGTGTTTGGTCAAATAATAGGAAGTCTTTTAAAAAATATATATATATTTTCATATTATTCTTGAACTCAGTATCACACCTATAGAGCAGTACAGTGAAGAGAGTCACAATATTTCATTTTTACAATATTCTGTCTCAAAACATTTTTGCCATTTTACCGATTTGCTCACGAGTATCCACTCCATAAGGTTTACCATAAGGTAAAACATAGTATACAATGAAACAACAAAATATTAGTTTGGCCCCTAAAAATATGTTTAGAAATAGATGTTTCAGTAAAAGAAATAAAAACCCAACACAAAAAAATGATTTTGCCAAGCAGTGCACATAGAAAATGCAAACCCATGTCTAATAGAAGTTGTGTAATGACATCGATTAGATCCTACAGGAACTTATCCCAGGCTGATTTGTAAACTAACTACACAGACGAATGACCAGGACATTGGCTAAAATGGAATGAGTAGCAAATTCCTTTTAATGGCATCACTTTAAAACCACCAATGACTTATTTCCAGTTTCAACAATTCAATAGTGAATAGCGGACATGCTTGAATGGATGAGTATTGTGTGTTGTAGCTAAGTGGACAATTGTATCTTTTCAGAATGATAAAAATCCAACGTTGCCATAAAAGTAGTTTCTAAGTAAGTAAAACAGAGGAACACTAACTCAAATCCAGACACAAAAACAGCTGTAAAGAAGAAAGGTGTTAACTCTTTTTCCCAGCAACACATAACCCATGAATAGGTATGAGCAGCACTGTATTGGAGTAAAAGTTAATTAAAAGTGCAAGTCTATTTCAAGCTATGCCTGAAGTCTTTATTCATCCTATTAATTTGACTTGTTTTCTTCAGTCGTACTTTCTGGATTGTCTCTGTGTTTTTTCTTTAAGCCTTTTCCCTGCCTGCGAGGTTGAGGTCTTTTGTAAAATCTTACAAAGAAAAGCCTCTCTTTTGTATATCAGATGTGATCTTTCAGTTCAACATTTCCCTTCAAGCAGGTCAGACCTTCTGTCCAGTCCTTTGGATTGCTGTTCTCTATTCACAGAATATATCTAAGCATTTAAAAGTCACTCCTTATTGAGGAGTTTGGTAGTTATGTTTCAGGGAAACCTGCTGAAGAAGCTCATCGGACGGAGTCATTGGAATGATGGGTTTCAGTTTGGGGCTAAACTATAGGCATTAAAATGTGAAGGAGACTTTTCTCACGTCCAAGATCAATTTTCTTCAAATAAAGTTTAAAGAGTTTCTGGATTCCACTATTGTTCAAATAAACAGTGGTCTTTTTGTCTCTTCCATGCACACTGGAGCGCCTGGCTAAGAAACAAACATCCAGCAACAATTAAAGGCAATCTTTTGAAATACGCCTGACATTTTCTCTTGCTTCCCCTTTTCCATAAGTCAAATCTGCTTAGTAATGAGATAAATGTTTTTGAAATGTGAATTCCGTTTTATTAGTCACGAACAAGCCAGGAGCTAGCCTCCTCCCCAAGAAAAACACATCTAGAGAAAGTATTGCATCTTATTTCATCACCATCATCACCATCATCTTCGTCAGGAGTAAGGGGGTGAAAAGGCTAGGCAAGTGAGTGGAGAGAGAGAGAGAGGAGCAAAGAGAACGGGGGCGACAGTAATGAAAATATCCCTGGATTCTATTTTGAACTTGATTGTAAAATAATGTCTCAAAAACACGCTCGTGAATAATTCAGAAAACTAACTGTTCTCATTTCAAATTCAGGGGACAGTCTGATTACAAACTGACTTCAGTTTGAACACACAAGAACAAGGCAGAAAATTCCACTTAGTGCAGCTTTAATTAGTGTTTGGTTCCAGATGAATAAACGCTGTTTGAGACGGAAGTCGGGTTTTATTGAAAAACTCAGCAAAGAGAGCGAAGTGTACATTCCTCAGAAGAGCCTCAGCACTGCTGTCGGGTGAACTGAATAAATCAGGTCCCGGCCTGGTGTAGGAACTTTTCCACAAAAAGTTCTGAGTGTATGAATGCGACATATGAGTGGATTCTCATGTGAGCAAATCGGTTTGATCACTTTAATCTGATGCCCTTCCTGTAAATGAGGCCCGAGACAAGCCAATCCTAGCAGAACCTTAACACAATATGTTCATTTAAGTACAGCTATTAGTCCTCATCCTGTGAAGTCCAGTTGGTGCATTGAGTAGTCTTTAATGGAAGGAGGAGGAAATGTTATTTTTTTTAATACATTTTAACATTTGTGTTTCTTATTTTTACCTAAGTTCAGTCAGTAGTATTTGCAAATAGTTAAAAATTAAATTAGAAATGTAATATTGTTACCAGGTTTTTTGACAAATCTTAAAAGCTCAACAAATTAATAACATCAAATCCAAAGGGGATATTCTCAGGAGTGAAAAAGTATTTTCCAAACCTCCCAAAATATTCTACAGCTGTACATGAATGGTTAAAAAGACCCGTGGCCACATATAGATGCCATGTGCAATCATTGCCCTAACATATTGTAGAGGAAGGATTTCTCAGATGGGTATAACATATATATCTCTCTCCACGGTCTGCTAGCTGTACGTCCTGTTTGTGTGCTGAAAATAAATCTGGTGTTTGTACACAGCCCTGGCTCTGTAAATGGAAAACAAACACTATTCCAGACATTTTAGCCATGAAATGTGTGCCAGGTAGCAGTAAATAACTTCCCCATGGACATTCAGCTTACTTATTTCTTTTCCAATCCATGCTGGGTTTTTTTATGTTAGCTATACCAGCAGGAGAATTTTGAGTATCACTGTTTGGAGCTGTTGTGCTTGCTCTGGAGCTGCCCTCTTCTCTCTGTGTCAGCAACTGGAACAACAGTATGCTAACCCACAACTTAGCTAACGTCAATTACATTACTTGCTGTGTCACTGTTCGCTCTATACCATGATTTTTGTCATGGTATTGGATTTCTCCAGAATCTCTTACTGCACCTTAAGGTCCCCTGGACTTACTGCATGTGATATCGAGCGAGCACATGGCCTCTTCATTTTTCTTAGTATTTGCAAATGTTGAACTTGACTTGCCCCATCATTATCAAGTAAATAGCATACCAGATCACAGGAAAGGTTCACTTTAAACCAACTCTGAACTGGGGAAGACTGGTTTCCAGCACTCCTTAATACTGGAATGAACTGCAACCCAACTTGAACTTATAGAAACTCATCGCTCAGAAGAAATTTTCATATATTTATGATTTCTTTTATTTGTGTCTGTGTGTGTGACTGAATCATGTGATTTATCTTTGGGTCTCTCTTGATATCAAGGAGACTTCCTAAATGAATAAAGCTCAACTAACAAATTAGCCATAATAGTTCAACGAACAAAATGTCACTGTATCCTCACCCGCATAATAACAGAAATTCCTCTTGAGACGGTCAAAAACGAACCAGCGTTTCTTCCACGATTTGATTTTGCCACCCATCTTCACCAGGTGGCCCTTGCACATCTTCTCTGTGAGGTTGACATAGGGGCAGGTATCTATGCTGTGGCCGGACGACTCCACGTGTGCGCGCAGGTCAAACTCCTCCTTACGGTTTGGCAGATAGCGCGTCATTGGACGGGCCTGTAAAAAAAATGTTTCATAGTGCTTTAATGCTGCTAACCAAGTGAAGATATGGGAATAAGTAGCAGAGCTGCTTTACTGCAAGTGTTTTGGGGCATGTCCAAGTCAAGTCCCAAGTCAACATGAGCACATTACAAGTCAAGATGCAAATGTTCAGGTCTCTGAATGCAGACCATTAGAATGACTAGAATTTCAACATTTTCTTTTAAAGCTGTTATTTTTCTACATAGTCTTTTCAATATATAGTGTTAAAAATTAAATATTCAGTGTAAGGCTATACAAGGCCTGCCTGACACTGTCACACTTAATGTTCAGAAGTCAAAACATTCTTCTACTGTGAAGTCTCAAGTCAAATCAAGTCTTTAAGGGTTCTGACTTTAGTGTGGCAAGTCTCAGGCCAGCCACATTCACGTCAAGTCCTAATTTTTGTGACTTAAACCTGCATTAACAAATTTATGGACGCTTTCGAGAGTGGTGAGAGTGAACCAAAACAGTAAAGTTGCCTCTGTAAAACTAAAACAAGGAGCTTAACGAAGAGGGGAACTGCAGAGCTGGGTGATAATACTCTTGTGGGTTCAGCACTACGGGCAACGCCTTTCACATTGATGCATTGTTAATATAAAATTATTGATTATAGCAGCCGTTAAGTTGGACTCAAGAACAAACTCTCAACAGCTCTGATATAAGGGGAACTAGGTGCATCTGTATTTGATGATTTGTTTACTTGCCGTACTCACACCACAGACAACTGGTAATTAAATACACTCAGTCGAGATTAAAGCTTTAATTATGTTTACATTATATTTTCTTTGTGCACCCCCCCATCCATCTTTCTCTCTGTTCTCCCACTCACACTCTCCACCCTCCCTTCCTTTCTTTTCACTTTCTCTCCCATCCCTGACAATCTTTGATCTTCCCATATACCCAGCTTCTCTTTAGTGTCTCGCCTCTCATCCTCTCCCCCAAGTCTCCCATCCCCTCCTCCCTCCCTCTCTCCCTCCCACCCCCTCCCCTCTCTTCTCCCCACCGCCCGTCTCCTCCCGCTGCTCCACTGACCTGGGAGAAGTGTTTCTCTCTCATCTTCACCTCCTCCTCCACCAGCCTCTGCCTGTGGGCCGTCTCATCCTGAAGCCTCCTCTCGGCCTCCTCTCGCCTCCTCCGCTCCTCCTCCAACATCTGCCGCCGAGCCTGCACCTCTCTCTCCTGGGAGCGTCGGGAGAGGAGACAGAGGAACAGATGGAGAGAAGAGACGAACAAATAAAAGGGGGAAAAGGGAGACAGGGACAATGTAAATGGTAGGCAAATATTGCAATACAAAGTCATTGACTGTCAGAAGAGGCACATGAGAGTTAAGGTCCCAATCGAGGGTTTTGTAAAATATATCCCTTAAGTCTGTATATAGAAGGGTAAGCTTTGCTGATGTAAAATGATCCTTTGCGGCTTTCAGATACTTACATACAGGTCTACTTTGTTTCAACATGTAGAAATAATACACAGGTGAGCAAACTTCTTACAACTTCATTTCACCACACCTTGAGCCGAGTGATCACTTTGAGAATGATATCTTTGTGCTTTTGTATCTATCAAAGAGGAGAAACAAAAGACTCCTCTGATAATTCAAAGTTATTTTCATCAACTTTCAGGGAAAGTGGTATGTCAAGTTATTGTTTCACAATATCTGTAGTCCAAATGAATGATTGCATACAAATTGTAATTAAAAACTAACAACACTGGGTAATTGTTTTCTATCCTGTATGTTTAGAGTGTATATTTTTTCTGGTGAAATGCATAACAGTGGAACATTGCATTGTTATTATTGCAGTGTTATCACATTGATTTGATTATTTCATATGTTATTTGCATATATTTTTGATTATGATGATATATATTACAGTAATATGTTGTATGCTTTACATGGTCGTCCTTGGCTGTAGGTTTTCATGTTTTTAATATTTGTAAGAAGCATAATTATGACTTTTGAGAGTATGGATCCACTTTATGCTCACTACTGAAAACAGCTAAATTCAATTTTGCTACAATCAGTTTAGGATTCGTAATGCCAAAATTGCGGCTTTAACTTCAAGTTTACTAGTTTAAACTAGGTCTGCAACTAATGAGTATTGATCATTCTGCCAATTATTCCCTTGAATGAGCAATAAATCATTTTGTTTACAAAATGTTGCATAATAGTAAAAATGTGTTATAATATCCCACAGCCCATGAAGATGTTGTCAGATTTCTTATTTTATTCGACCAACAGTCCAAAACCCAAAGATATTCAGTTTACTACCACGTGTTACACAGAAAAGCAGCAAATCTTGAGACTTGAAATTCTGCAACTATCAAATGTTTGGCATGTGCGCTTGAAAAATTACTAAAACAATTAATCGATTATCAAAACAGGTTTTAATTTCGATCAACTACTTGATTAATTGATTATTCCTGGCAGCTCTAAATGGGGTAATCCTTTCACCTTGAAATTTTAAAATATCTGGAAGGAGATGATGTTTAGCAAGTGATGAAATAATTGATGATGTCCAGTCATGTTAGGAAAAAGGCCCTGATGTTAAAACTCACTCGGTTCTCAATCAGCCTGGCTTTCTCCTGCTGCGCCTCCTTCAACATCTTCTCCATCTCATCTATCCGCTGGGCCTCTAACCCACAGGCACTACAACACACAGAGGGAAGGAGTGTCTGATGACACAGCTATGACAAGGCTTGGGATGAACAAAAATAAACAGACATGCCTGGAAACTAAACACTGGAAGCAGCAGGAGACAAAGACAAGGTTTCTTCATGCACAGCAGTAAAGTGCGTCTTTGAACTCCTAACTTCATGCACAAGCACAGACAACTTGAAGAGGCTGGCATGGCAACAGCCAGTGTGCTGGCAGTCCCAGGAGCAGACAGACATAAAACATGGGAACAAAGCACAGTGACCCCTCTCCTGGGGGACTGGGGCAGACTTGAGTGTTCCCATGGAAACAGAGCCAGTTTTCCAGTCTCTCACCTTTCTGGGGTACAGGCGGAGTTGCCGGTGGAGACGCTGGTTTCCATGCTGTCTGAGCTCTCCAGGCTCAGGGTGTCGTACGCTTGGCTGCCACTCGGTGGCGACTGATGGTGCAGGATGGAGTGATGGACTGTGGGAGACAGATCTGTGCAAGAAGAGAAGGTGCAGAGACAGCTGTCATAGACTTATAGTGCCCTCTACTGAGAGTGCCAAGGCATTGTTACCAGTTGATTATACATCAGAGTGAGGAGACTTGACACACTGGTGATATACTGTTCCAGAGGTGTAATTTACAGTGGGCGATGCTGGGGACATGTCCCCAACACTTTTTTAAAGTATTTTCTAAAAATGTTCTGAAAAATACCTTGCAACAAGAAATGTTAAATATAAAACCTTGAGAAAGGTGCACAATTAGAAACCATATCATACAATGTAAATATAGAAGTAACAAATTTGTGTTGTCCAAAAAAGTTTAAAAAAAAGTAAGTTAAGCTAAAAAAAACGAACAAGCTTAGCATTACTCCATTATATTTTTATAATTTGAATTGTCACTTGCCACCTGAATTTTGTGTTTCCCTTTATCTAAATAAAGTCATATCCACCATAAATTTTTGCAGAAATGTTCTCTAGAATGAAATTAAGTGTTTATTGCTCAAACTCAACGGTGTTAAAATATCTTCTCATCTTGTTCTCGTGAATCCAATATTGTGAATCGTCACGCCTCGTGAGCTAAGTGTAGTGTCACACCCCTAATCTGAGCCCTTTTGTCCCCACCACTTTTCAGCACAAAGTGTACTGTTCCCACAGACTTTAAAGAGTAAGAGGCTTTAGTCTTCCTCCATGTACCTGAATAAATCTCCTGTGTAGACTTTTTTTTTATCCGTCTAAACATTATGAGTGTGCATCTCAGGTGAAACCCTTCAGTGTGTGAAACAGATAAGATGGAATTGACGGACTCGAGTACCTTTACTCTGAAGAGCCAACTGCCTCCTCGGGTCCATATCTAACGGGTTTGACATCTCTCTCAGCACTAACTGTAACCCCTAAAAAACACACAGAAGGCATCACACATTTAATTACTTGATATTTTTTTAGAATTCACATTTTAAACTGATGAGCTCACCTTAGTGGATGCATTTTTCTCATGAGCAACACCACTGGAGGGTGGCAGGGCTACAGTGCTGCATGATGCTGCCTGTGCCACCTCACCATCTGATTTGGACTTCAGTAGCTGAGAGAAGAGACAGATCAGTTCATAATTTTTTTCACATTTGAGAAGGAAGTGGATATGCTTTTCCTCCCAAAACATCAGAACCTCTTAAATGTTATTTTCTTAATCTCGGATATTCTTTCAAAAGACAGAAATTGAAGTTTGGTTTTGAATTTTCTCAAATACCATTTTCTACTTGACAACAACTAGGTACTAGCTACATTACAGATTCAGATTAATAATACCAAATGTAAGTAACAAATAAATTATTATTATTATTATTATGTATCATCATAGGATACCATATAATACATGATGTGACTTTATTGATCCCCAGGTTGGAATTCACAAAATAAAGTAGTCAAACTTAGCTCCACCTTTAGCAGCTGCAACATTAAAGTAGTGTACACATAAATGTGTTGGCTTCAATCTGTCCTTTACGTTTTCCCTTCCCCTGTCTCCCTTGTGTGTTTTGTCTGTCTGTCTGGGCATGGCAATCTCTCTCTCTCTCTCGCTCTCTCTCTCTGCTTCCCTGGATCCTGGCTTACTCCCAACGAGACATAGTCTACCTGCTTCACATCAGCTCATCAACCCAGCAGTATTTCAACCCTGGTCTTTCAACCCTTTGCTGAACTCTGTTTCTTCTGGATTTCTCTGCATTGCCCGCCCGCTCACTGCCAGCTACGCCAAGACAGCCATGCCAGCTCAGTTCATTCTCTCTGCCTGCTGAGACTGCCATTACATTCCACATGTTGTTATCTGAACTAACGAACAGGATTACAGTTATAACATTTAGTTTAGGATCTTCGGTGTCATGGAAGCCTTGTATCTCAGCACTCAACTTTATATCAGTCAGCACATGTAACACTGTTAGCTTAATTTTCCAGCTCACTGTTTTCATTCATTTATGCCTGCAGGATCAAGTACCTAACTGAATTAGACTATGTCAGCGCTTCACACTTGGCAGCATCAAAAGTTCACAGGCTACCATGTCTTGTCTTCTACACTAGAGGGCCTCCTACTCATACAGATATTTGATAGTTGTAGAGCTAGTGAGAAGATCCCCTAGATCCAGTGTGTGACAATATGTTGGTAATGCATCTGGCCTGCTGTCGGTGCCCTTTAGCAAAACAATGACTCTAATACACTGAATAATAATTGGAGAGCAAAAAGCAGTGAGCGAGAAAGAGTGAAGACTTTACCTGCCCTTGCCTGCGTGCAGAAAAAGACTTTGCAGGCAGCGGTGGAGGACATGACGGAGGCTCTCCAGCAGCCATGATGTCCTGGTACCAGCGCTCGAGGTTAATAGGAGGCATTGCATTCCTGCTCAGCTCAGGCTGGCTCTGAGGTGATGAAAAGCATCCAGGCAAAGGAGAGGGGAGCAGCACCAGGATCAGTGTCAGAAGCATCAAGCAGGTAGGGAATATAAACATGAAACAGTTCTTGTAGCAATATCAAGCTGGGGTGGCTGCATAAGAAATTTTTTGGTGGATGGCTGCAATGTTGCAATGGTGTTGTCAGTTAACAAAATGTGACACCACCAGTAACAAAGAAGAAGAACAAACCTGTGCAGAGAGAAAGGGGGAAGGATCACATGCAGTTGAGTGGTATGAGAAGGCGGATTCAGAGGAGGCAAGGTGGAATGATGGAATAGAGTAGGAAGAGGAGGCATCAATTCTCTGCATCCCAAAGATCTGGCTTAACTGACTGACTGTGATGTACTCCTTCACACAGACAACAAGAGACACACACACACGCACACACACACATTTATGGTGAGAGAGAGAAGAAAAGTGGAAAAGAATGTTAAGAAGCTGCATCCTCGAGAAATGTATTTTGCAATACTGTCAATGTGCTCTGGTGGGTTTGGTATTTAGTACACTGAGAGAAACACATCAGAGAGTTTGGCAGAGAGCTGGCAAGGTGTCTACCTCACATGGCAGACCTGGAGCTACAGCGAGGGAGAGGCAGTGGAGCGCAGCAGGGGAAGAAGGGTGGGGTTGCATTGAAGCATTTCCATACATCTTATAGACATCAGAGAGCCGGAGGTACTCCTGCATCAACAGCCAAATCACAGGGATAAGAAGGCTGAACGACAGCAATAGTCATTCAAACATGCACAATGCAAACACGTGGCCATCACAACTCATTTGGACTCTATCTTTGAAATGAATATGGATGGCAGTCACTTTACAGGTTCATCCTCCCAAGCATCATCTATCAATATATTTTTTTTGTTGCATCATCTTGTTTATGTTGTTAGTTAATGTCGTAGGAAACAATTCTCCTCAAATGCTTCAGTGATAGTAGCAGACACCTGACCAACATACACACTGCGAACTTGCTGTTGTTTGTCAGTATTTGCTTACACACCATCATCCCTGATTTTTTATTGTAGAAACGGCAGCACAGGCATTTAGGATTTGTTAGGTTTCGTTACAAAGAGGATTCTGTTAAGATGTACCTCTTGGAGCCTAACAGGATAGAGTTCAGGGGAGGGGAGGTGAGCGGAGGAGAAGGAGGCAGAGGAGGGACAAGGACTATGAGCAGGGCCGTCCATATGAACAAGATCAGGTTCGCTGATGTGAAGAAAGTCCTGTTTAAAAAGTTCATCTAAGTTATAAAAATAAAACAGTACTTCTCCTCCAGCTCAGACGGTTGTGATCTCATGTCTCACATGTTCCTGCTCACCTCTTTCATGCTGCTGTTGGACTTTGGGAAGTTTCTCCCTCCTGTCAAGGCGTGGTACTTCTTCTCCAGGACACACAGCCTGTCTTGCTCCTAAAAGGCAGACATGCTTGTCATAGCTACTGGCATGTCATGCATCACTGTTATGATTTAAATGCACGCCAACTGTACAGGTAGTTAAGGCTAGGTTTATAAAAGGCTAACCTTGTGTAACAGCTGCAGAGTCACTGCCCTGCCTTTAGCCATCCTCTCGCATTCTTGAGCTGCCTGTAACCCCAGCTGCTTCACCTGAGCTTCCAGGGCGCCCATCTTCTCCTGCAAATCCAGTCCAGTTTCTCAATGTCACACGGGCATATAATCTCATGTTGGTGATCATGTGTTACACACATAGGCCTGAATGTGTTTTTTTGCTATACATGTATCCCCACCTTCCTCTTGGCCACGCTGCAGTGATACTCGGCTCGCTCTTGGAGAAGCTGGGAGCTCTGAGTCTCCTTCTTCTCCTCCAGACTGCTCTCCTCCTCTAGCTGGCAGAACTCCAGCTCCTCAAACCGCTTGGTCCCAGACTCCAGAGCTTCAGCTTTCTGTCCAGATATAGATATACATGCAGTAAATTCACACTGATTGAAATCAGTCAAATAGAGATATCAAAGGATAAGGCAGGCAATTTTCTATATATTTTTTATTGTTAACAAAATTCCATGAAAAGGGTAAAACCAACAATTGTCTGTGTATCCAGAGTTTGATATGTTCCCATCCCACCCCCACTGTTCTGCTGCTGTAAATACTCACTATTATGTATTAATCTGTTGTTGAAAATAGTCCCCAAGAAATGCACTTTACTTCTGAGTAATGTTGCTAAAAACTACAGTGATCAGTTGTTTTAGAAAATCCCATAGCCTTTAAAAAAATTAACAAGTACATTTGTGACCTGATTTTGAAGATTTACTTCTTCAGCAGCAACTGATGATTCCTACTGAGAGCCACAAACAGGATGGAGAGGTTGGAAGTATTGAGATGTGGACCAACACATTGTTGGTTTTGGTGTTTTCATGGGATTTGTTCACAATAAGAAAAATAGACAAAAACACCTACAAATATCATACCATCTAATCTGACAATACTCTGTTTAGTAAGCATGCAAACTTTTAGAGCAAAGCTGTTAATCAGATTAATTATTACTAATAATGCATTTGACATTTCATCCAGAATGAGGGAACAGCAGAGATTAAGCAGCAGTCTAAAATTGCTGCTGGCGTAGCAGGAGCATTGCTATACAGTCACACTTACAAAGGGCACTGACATAATAAACCTAATATGTTGAGATAATGAAGGGCAACAGCAGACAGAGAGGAAATGCACAGTCTGCAGATTTATGAGTAGCTCTGAGTGCTTCAAAACAGAGTCAGTGTTACGTCTGCAGCCGTTTCTGTACAGATCATACAGTACTGTGGTATTTGGTATATTATAACTCACTGTTGCCAGCCAGTGGGCTGCGTGAGAACACTGACCCTGCTGAGCTGCTCCTGTAACTGTTCCCTTAGAGACAAGGGGCACTTATCAAACTGCCTCTTCAGCTCATTGTACTCATTCCTCTGCTTTTCCAGGACCTTCCGCTCAGCCGACACATTAGCCCTCCCCTAAAAACACATGGAAACACACACACATATGCACAAATGGGTACACATTCACACACACACACACACACACACACACACATACATACATACACACACACACACACACACATACACACACACACACACACACACCAACCCAGGGAGAAAAAAAATCACAGACAGCTCAAATCCATGCAGCCAAGCTTTAAAGCTAACAGGCCAAAGCAGTTATTAAGTTTTAGAGGATTGAAGCAGAGGTTAGGTTGGCAGGAGTGTTATGACTTGCAATGCTTCACACACTTGTTAATGTTAAAATGAGAGAAAAATAAAAAGTTATATGCATATCTGAATCCACATTTTAGTGCTGGTCACATCCAGCTAAAAGCCTACGTAAGGAAGATGTTTTTTGTTTCTTGAAACACATGAACTGTTCAGAGAGAAAACAATTTGTGCTTTGTGTTTTAGAACAGACAGCTAATAATTTAGCAGTGCTTATTCAGCTGAGATCTGAGAAAAGGCTTTATAGATCCTGTATTTCTAGACGGACGGTTTACACATTCAGGAAGGAGTGAGTTTTTATGTAATCAAACACAGAGAAACAGGTCCAACATTCACGTGCAGTGGCTTCGGGCAAACTGGCAGCATTCACTGTGTCACATTGCTTTGTCCTGGGTGCCTACCTTGTCTTTCTCTTTCTGGGTGGCCTTGTCCAGCTGGCTGAGTTTGAGCTGCAGCTGAGAGATGATTTCATTTTCAGCCTCCACCTGCTCCTGCTCAGCCCGCCTCTCTGCCTGCAGCAGGGCTTGCTCCATCTCCACCTAGAGACAAATGTGGAGTCAGAGTCTGCAAACCACCAAGTACTGTCAAGCTAAATAAACAGATAGAGGCGAAACAGATTCCTTGATCTTAGGGTGTGTGTTGACCTCCTGTTTGGTCTCTTGTAACTGCTGCTCCAGTTCACTGACTCTGTGCTTCAAGTCATCCACCCTGGCCAAGATCCTGTTCCTCTCCTCCTCCAGGTAGACCTGCTCCTGACCAGCTAACAGCTCTTCACACTAAGGGCAGATTTATATATATATTTATATTTCTTAAAACGCAAATAATTACACACAAATAATGTAATCTATCACTTGCATGCCTGCATGAATGTGTTTATTACCTCTTGATGTGTGCTCTCTGTGCTGCTAGACTCCTCTCTCTGGGTTTCCTCATCGTTCTCTCTCACCCTCTGGGGCCTGTCTACTCCCTGGAGGGACATCCCCCCTCCGATGTCCAAGCAGGTTCCTCTAGCGCCCCCCAGCAGCCCACTCCTCACCACCTCAGCCAGCTCCACAGCACTGTCCTCATGATTATACTCTGCACACAGACTGAGAATGGTCTCCAGCCTCTGTCGCTCCTACAGAAGAGATGTGAGACGTTAGCATGCCGTCCTACATTATATGTCATATTGCAGATTAGCTTCAAGTGTCCTTGTGTGACATTGTCCCATGTAGGCAGCTGCCCCTCAGCCACTGGCACGGGATAACTGTAACCTGATAGCAGGAGGGCCGAAGCTGATGTGGTTTGTCTCTCAGGAGGGGGTTCATAGTAAAACCTGTCAGAGCCATAGTTTATTAATCCGACAGTCTGTGATAACTGTAAGATAAATAAACGTGGAGAGTTTAGCTGCTGACTGAGACTATCTGAGATTAAACTGCCCCAGATGTCATTTGGTTTGTACTATACTTATGTTGCTCTTTTTGTTTAGATTTTGACATTGTGTTATGTATTTGTGCCACATGGTTCAAGGTTGTGGCCAGTCTGATGTCTATCATCACTCCAAACAATGGGATGCTTGCTTTAATCTACCAAAATAATAGCGCGGAATGTGTAACAATAATTAGGAATCTGGCATGACTAGGAACAATAGTGCCTAATGTGCTTCTTGTTGTTGTTCCCACAACCACCAGCCCACTTTTGTCTGGTATTTAAATTATTCAGGCTATTACAATAATTACACTGTCATGAGCATTAACTTTAACTACAAGATTTACACCTTGGACAGTTGTTTATGCTGTTGGCCTGTTTACTCCTTGATAAAATCCAGCAATATCATTAAAAGTGAAACCATATTTCACTGAACTTCAGAGTTAGTCAAGTGTAATATGTACATAACGATAGAAATATAAAGCTATAACTAGATAGTTTGATCTAATATTGTAAAAGTAAAGGTTCAACATTTTGGGAAATGAGCACAATAACAATACATACGTTATGCTTATATTAGCTTTTTTTGGCTCTGTCTGATGGTGCCTGTCTATCAACACTTCGAAACTTTATTGAATAACATGTTATATCGTGTGATGGTATTTTGATCAGGAAGATTTTATAACAGATATGGGTGTGGTATCGACCTTTGCATCTAACTTCCTGTAAGAAAGTCAATAAACATATTTTCTCAAATGTTGAACTTTTGCTTTATCTTGAAATGCAGACCATCCAGAGGAGCAAACTATTGTAACAATGAAATTAACCCATTCACCTTATTATTACTGAAATGTTGTAGTTTATTGCAATTACACTACTTTTGCTTTGTGTATCATCATAGAAATCCTCTCAATTAATCAGAAGCCCTTCAAAAATAGAAATAGTTTTGCCTCTTCCCAGTGGAATTGATGCCAAAATTAAGTTTTCTATTATATTTCTTCCTCTCAAGCCATGCCCTTTGCTTTTGCTGGGAGATAAAGTGCAGCATGTGATTTTAAAGTGCAGCAATATCCATTCATGTATATAGGTTGGGTTCAATAAAGTGAGAAATAATCCTGCATAACTGTGCCAACTGTGCCAAGAGAGCAGCATGCCAAGTGTTGGGCATTCATTCAAATCCTCTCTTTGTCCTTCTCTCTCTCTCTCTCTCTCTCTCACTTTCAAGGCTGCAATACCAGCAAATCAAGAACCTGGATACCCTGGATAACCCCCAAACATAGTTCACCGCATGCTAACTGGTTTGTCATTAAATGTATATTGTGTGGGAATATTCACCGTTACACACAACTGCAACAGAAATAACAGGAAGCTTAGAGGTGCTCTGACATGGAGCGTCAAGATTTATAATGCAGGGACCCTCTTAAAAGAATAGGTTATTTTGGGAAATACAGTTGACTGATACCACTCTCATGTCTGTGCCCTAAATATGAAGCTTACCGCAGGAGACATTAGAATAGCTAAGCTTAGACTGGAAACTGGGAGAAACAGCTAGCACCTCTAAAGCTCATGAATTAATAGATTGCATCTCATTTGTTTCATCCATAGTTCAAGGTTAACACTTCATTGTTTATTTGTTTTTGTCCAGTCTTTCTGCTGAACTAAACTAATTGTCTCCTGGGTCTAGCTTCCTAGTAAAATCAAATTTTTACACTTTGGTTTTCTAGCTTCACACGTATTAGACAGAGCGGTATCATTCTTTATGATATAATTCTCATCAAGAAAGTGAAGAAGCGTATTCTCCAAAATATCTAGGCGATTTATTCATTTAACAAGGGCCCTGCATGATTATCTAGTCTTGAAGCTTCATCCACCTCTACATGATTTGTCCCCAGAGATGTTAATGTGGTCACTTATTCTTCATTTATCAAGTACCAACAACATAGCAAGACAGAAATCACTGAAAACATTGGAAATCTCAGCCAGCACTGAACAAATCTCAAATTGGCCGCTTACAGCTACATAATTGTATGTTCATTAGGGCCAAGAAATATCTGTCTTTATCTGTTTATGTGTTTGCAGAGGTAACGGCTTACATTGTCTACTGGATGACTCACCACAAGGGTAGAGTAGCTTCGACACAAACATGCACACGCTGGATCCATTGCAGTAAAACCCCTATTGGTCCAACTTAGACACATGTTGTGAGTAACTCTCATATTTGTTACCAGAAACCTTTTGGTTCCTGAAATAGTCTGTGGACAGGGAGGAATTACCCCCCTCCCTACTCCCTCCCCCCTTGGTCCCTTCAGCTGTCAGAGGCAGGCTGCGGTGGGGGCTGAAGAATGGTGGGGTGGGGGAGCTGGTGGGTGCGGAGTGAGGATGGATAACAAGTATGCAGTCAATGATCTTGTGTGGGTACGAATATGAATACGAATACGAGTGGCTTTAACTTTCAAAGCTGGGGGCAGCTTTGAAAAAAGCCACTCGTCCTTTTGATAAATATAGTGCTGAGTAATAACCAGCCATGCCCTCCTGTCTGAAGACTTGTGGAAGAATGTTCACCCCGTGTTACTCAGCCCACATGGGCTGACGATGCCAGTAATACTCTGGGGAGATGAGCTAGTGGCTGTATGCCAGGAGATTTAGACAAGCGATCTGAATGCAGACATGGTGTCTGCTATGCCAGCACTCTCAGCGCCTTCTGCGTTTAACTGTATTTATGTTCTTTAAAATCATGGTGTTTATTGACCTTATAGTGTTTGTCCTCATCAGTTGTCCTGTGTTGTTGTCTGTGTGGTGAAGGCAAATACACTTCTTTACACTGTGGACAACACAGTTGCTGACTCACCAACTAGCTAACTACATGTATGTAAATGGCTCAAATGTGAAACACTTAAATGTGCAGTCAATATTTTTTTATATTAGTGGGATAATTTGATATTGTAGGAAATACCTTTACTATTGTTTGCAGAGAGTTTGATACCATTCTCATGTCTGTCTGTTAAATATCAAGCTACAGCCAGGAGCTGGTTAGCTTAGCTTAGCATAGTGACTAAAGCAGGGGAAACAGTTAGCCTGGTTCTGTCAAAAGGTAAATCTGCCTACTAGCACCGCTACAGCTGTCTAATTAATACATTGTTTCTTGTTTGTTTAATCTGTACAAAAACCGAAGAGTAAAAAATTTACACTTAAATATGAAGCTAGCCTATAGAGCCAGGAGATAGCTTAGCACAAATTATGAGAAATACATTATAAGTTGCTGATTTTTTAGGATTTCACTGTAATTAACTTGTGAGAAATTAGCATTGGTCACAGGGTTTTTATTCCTAAACAAAGGGTTGTCTGATTTACAATAAACGTCTGCTGGCATGTAGGTGAGAGTTTTAACATAGACCAATCAAGAGACAGAGAAATATCTGAATTTCCTTTCTTAACTCAGGAAGAGTGTATGCTAATACTACTCTTGTTTGCTTTGTACTTGTTCTGTACATAAGGAGAGGAAATGCTGAGTTCGGGAGAGTAACCGTGTGTTCTCTCCGTGGCCACGTTACATAAAGAAATGATTCAATACATCTATTTGACTATGTATTCTTTGGGAAGGAATTATTTTCCCTGACAAAATACTGGGGAAAAAAGGCGACAAAACTGTCAACATGTCATTTAAACACTTTTTTATGGATTAAACAAACAGATACATGTTAATTAGTGAGCTTTAGAGGTTTTTACCTTCGGACAAAGCCAGGATAGCTGTTTGCCTTGTGCTTTCCAATGACTGGTGAACATTTCGTGCATCTAGCAGGTTAAATTCACAGACATTTTTGTCTAACACAGCTAAAATGAGAGTGAACATTGGACTTAGATCTGTCAGGTCACCAGAAACACAACTCCAAATGAATGCTAATGTTGCTCTGTGTCAATTGAATATTTTACTAACAATTTACATTACAGATACAGCTGTGGCACTGCACCTGTCAGCTTGTTTTGATGTGTTTCTCCTGATACAACGTCGTAAAGGACAAAGCAGAGCAGCAAATGTTTTCTTTATGATTTTCTACTCTTATATCTACTGTAAACTTATATTTAGATCTGATCACTTACCATTTTCTCCATTTCCTGCTCACGCAGCCTCTCCTCTCTCTGCCAGCGGTGGTATTCCAGCAACTCGTCCTCATTGTCACTGATCTCAGAGATGCTGTTCTTGCGTTCTCGGGTATATGGTTTTGTAAGACTCTGTTCCTTGCTGGAAGAGCCTGCTATGGTCATGCAGGTGGTCTTTCTTTGGTTGTGGGGGCTAGCAAGAGGAGATGAACCAGATAGAGATCCCAGGCCTGACACGATGGCATTTCCCGGGGCAGGCCTTAACTGTCTGCCTCCAGGCTTCTTCTCCATCCCACAGAGTGATGATGGATTCTGGGTATAAAGTGCCCTCATGGCTTCTGCTTTAGAAGGAGGTATGAGTTTCAGAGGGCCCTGGGGGCTCTCGGGGACGGGTTTAGCAGTGAAGCCCTGTGAGGCAAGCGAGGATCCTGGAGTCCCTCTGCGGGACATGCAAGGGCTGGGGGGCGGAAGTTCTCTCAGGCTGGTGGACCCCGTCGGCTCTGGAGTCTTGAGCCTTTGAGGGACATCTACATGAGAGGGGTGCTGATCTTGCATAGGACTGGGGGATCTCTTCTGTAGGGAAGAACCTCTTACTCGAGGGCTGGATGGTGCTGTTGGGGAAAATTTGCACAGGGCGGGTTTATGACTTAAGCTAAAGTTTTCTGTGCCCTGTCCTGACTCCTTGCGAGGTGGTGTGGGGCTTGATGAAGCTTCTGCTCTTATGTTCTGAAGAAGCTTTGGGCTCTCCTGGGCCCTCTGACCACTAGTAGTACAGCTTGAGGCCACAGAGAGTGATGTCCGTGGATGGGGGACAGGAGTAGTGGACCGTGCAAGTACTGGAGGAGTTTTGTTGCTGAGGTTCGAGCCCAGAAAGCTGCTGCTGTTTTCATAAATTGAGTCCTCAGTCATGGAGTCGTTTCTCCCATTTAGCATGTTTGAAGGAGAGGGCTGATGAATAGGTTGTTTACCAGATCCTGATGACGATGAGGCCTTCAGCATCAAGGAGTCCTGGAGGTTCTTTGATATGTTGTTGATTTTGGAGTCGCCGTTGCTCAAAAAAGACTGATGGTTTCCATTTAGGACACTGTGGGAGTCTGCGAAAGGGAGACAGAAACACCTGTGCATGAGCATTCCTGTTAAATAAAGGACGAGGACACTTGAATAGACAGTTGCAAAAACATACATAAACAAACACAGTGGTAGGGATCTGGTTTGTGTCACTGACATTCACTACACGTGAGGTCAGTGCTGGTAGCCCAAATAAGGAAATATACAGTGAACATGTTGTTGCACACACATATTCATACACAATGTCTCGGTGGCCTGCTTTAAATAGTGATAAATGTCTTGTTCTCCTGCATGAACCACTCGCAGCGAGTCGGGATGTTGTACTGCTCAGTTGTCTTGTAATACGACAGAGATCTGGAGCTGCTAAATATAAAAGCTGCAGCGGTGTACCTCATTCAGAGCTGATGAAATCAGGGCCTGGACAGGAAAGAGTGGGCCATACACACTGGGCAGGGTGTGGTGGCTCTTACTGTACTGTTCAGGCACTGGCAGCCAAACCAATAAGGTCAGCGGAGAATGGATTCTAAATATCATTGACAGCACAAGGGAACAGTCGCAGCAAGCAACGGGCCAGTATAATATAACATCAACTGAATGTAACTGTAAAAAGATTACAACAAACCCGTGTCACAATGAGGTCACACCTTGAGTGAAACCCACAGATAAAAATGAACTAGATCACAATGTAGGCCATAGATAATTAGTCCTGAACAAGCTATTTCTAGTCAAGGATAATGACCAATATTTCAGTCGAATTGTGCTGGAGATATGAAAATCAAGAGCTGGTAAACTTGGTGTTAAATTTGAACAAAACAAATAAGTTATTTTTTTACTTATAATGTGGAAATCAGTTTAATGTCAGAGGTTACACTTCAAAATGTCTAACGAATCAAGTGCTGAAAGTTATCTTTTTTCATGTTTACTTCATGTCATCTCAGTAACCATTTGGTAATTATGTAAGCCCTAAAAAGCCGTGGACAGTCAACTAATTATGTACAGTGTCTCATGCTAACTAGAGGCCTCATAATTCTCTGCAACAGATGTATGATACGTGTTCAGCATTAACGGGAACTTATGCAACTTCTTGATTTCACACCAAGGTAGTAGGAATCCAACTTTGACTACATATCTATAAATAAAAGATAAAGCATTTGTTCTGCCCAGAATAGCTACTGAGCAACCTTGTCACTGACCATCCTATTTCTGTATCCCTGAAAAATTATCATAATGAGTATCAAATAATAATATCAAAGCCGGGTCTTAACCAGTAGGGTGAGTTCTTGTGGTGCTCAGTCCTTGGCCACCGCCAGGCAGCATGCTCTTCATTCTCAGGGCCTCCTCTGGATGGTTGAAGCGGAAAAAGGCAGACTGACCAAAACACAGCATGCACCCTGCCAGGAGAGAAGACCATGATGTGTTAGGTAACGCCTTCAGAGAGGCAAAGTATTAACACCACCATAAATGACAGGTTGATGCCAAATATAACTTATTGCCTATTGCTTTTTTTTTTCATTTTTAAGCATTACTAACTATCAGTAACTTCAACCATTCAACTGATTCTGGTTAAAATGTGATATAAAATCAGCCTTTCAATGTTTTAACTAATTCAATTAGTCTAAAATAGCTGCAGTGACGGAATAGCTTTTACAGGCCACAGTACATGTGTATGCATACAATGAAGCTGTCCTGCTTAAATAATCAATAGGTGTGAGTGTATATAATTGTTCTTATTTGTGAGATTTATTTTAAGGTGCCATGAATGTAAACCACATTTCAGCTTGATGTGTGGTAACATAAGGAAATAAGGAGAGTGAAGGCAAGTGGGGGTCCAGCATGAGAGAAGAAACGGGAATTCTAAGGTGTGACACAGATGGCAAAGAGGTCAACATATCTGCTATTGTTGTTTTTTTGTCCTGTAGTCAATTTGAGATCTTGGTCATTTATTGACTGTTTAACTGCCATAAATAAACAAAATTAGTTTAACTCACGTGTAGTTAACCGGTAAATGAAATCAACTCCTTCTCCTTTTCCTGCATTTCCGCTGGCTTTCAAGAATGCCTGACAATTCGAGTCACACGCTGAAGTTTTCAGTTTCCAGTTATGGATATTCCACAGGGAGTTTAATGTTTATTTCATCATTCAAAGGTCCACGTGACTGCAGCATTGTTCCTTATGATATAAATAAAGTAGTTTCCTCCATTGCAGAGTTAATTTAGCATTTCATGACAGTCCTTTGAATGAAGCAAAGTATTCTGAAGTATTCTTGTTTAGCAGCTGCTGTCTCCACACACGCCAGCTGATCACCCGGCTTGAAATGACATTCTGGTGTAGCTGCTGGCTTGGATCCCAAGAAGAGAGGACTGAGGGGGGCGGGACTGTTTTTATGTCATGTATGCATGTTACTGGAAGGTCATGGGACTGTTTTGTTTTTGTGAAACTAGACTGTGTCATTGTACACTTTGCTTCCAATGTATTTAATACACAGCTGAGCATATGTAATACTGCAATGCATTTCCATTTTTAATAAGTCACCTGACTGTACATAAATGGGATTTCACCGGTAAGGGAGAGTTAAACAGGAATAAGAGTCTTTCGCCATGCTCACGGCTCATCAGTATGATCAGTACACATCAGAGCTGAATATGTCAGCATGCTAGCATGTTCACAATGACAATGTTTACATGCTGATGCCAAGCAGGTGTAATGTTTAGCATGTTAACCATCTAAGCGTAGCGTGTTAGCATGCAAACATTTGCTCATTAGCATTAAACACAAAGTACAGCGGAATATCGATAGTTCGGCACAAACCAAAGTAGTGGACAAATTAAAAATTTGACCTGATAATTACTGAAGTTATTACTGTAGCAAATTTATTGGGATCCATCCAATAGTTCTTGAGACATTTTAACCATAAGACCATAGATGTCTGTACCAAATTTTGTACACATCTTTAAACTCAATATGCACTAAAGTCCTTCTTAATCCCTAGTAATCATTAGTTTTGGTTACATTTTTGTTTTTATGCCATGCATTGTATAAGTTAATTGATATAAAATGCAAGAATAAACAGCTTTAAGTGCCACCTTGTGTCAGGCGATAGGGTTTGGTGATGGGAAGGCCATCTACGGAGCACTGGTTTCCACATGGGTACAAGGTGATGCTGCCAGCTTGGTTTTCAATGTAGCAGTGCTGAGCTGCGATACCGTGGCCCTGCAGTGGGATATCTGTCCCCTCGCTGCCCAGTGTGGTCCTCCCTGCAACAATAGAAAACATTTTCTCAGCATCAGTTACAGGAGATCCACGTGGACCTGGGAATACTTGTTTGAAGTATTCTTAGTTCGAAGCCAGAGTTGACATGACAGAGGTCAAGGTCGCATGACCAGTGTCACAAATGGAGTCCACATGTGACTGAATGATGAACAACAGGTGTTAGTCTCAAAAGACGTGCTTAGCCTGGTAGATAAAAGGCATCTTGTCAGAGGGAAGTATTATAACCAGCTTCTATTTACTTCTTGTCATTATGATTATTAGTTATTATTAATATTGCTGTCTGAAAACATACACACACACTATTTATTCTTATGTGATAGTACAGATGAGATAGTGCACCAAGAAAATCCCAGAGGGCTTTTCTCTGGGGCGGTACACACCCTCTCCTACCCGCTTCCTCTGTGGTGTCAATGCTCAGCGCAAGACAATGGTGCAAGAAAATCACAGACAAGGGTGTTATTGAAACTGTGGCGCAGCATGAGTAACAACAAGATGGTTAAAAGGTACTGTTTCATCAGTTTTTTTTAATTCATCATTCATGACAAGTTGTGCTGCTCACTATTTTAAATAATGTGATCATGGAAGTGTCTCTTTGTCCTAACAGGAACATAGATTACAGATCCTACAGTCAGTACAGATATGTCTGTACTGCCCCCCCCCTCCACACACACACACACACACACACACACACACACACACACACACAGGTCTTCACCTTCCAGCAGTGGAAGCAGGGTGATGGCTGTGCTCAAGCGTCCACTTCCCAAACTAACCAGGTGGGGGCGCTCTGCCTGGACTTTCAGGGACTTGCCTGTCTCAATCAGGTCTAAAGGAGTGCTCTGTCAAAACAAAATCAATTGGCAAACATCATTACATGATCCTGAGATGATTACCTCACTAAACTATTAAGTTACAAAGGTGGAAGTCTTAACACTCTTTTGCTGAATCTTAAAACTGAATGTTGCATCTGGTAAAATTACATATATGAACAGCAAAGCATAAATATTAAAATGCTCAAATAAGATGTCCAATATATGCACTTGATTCAAACTACACTACAGGTGCTATCCTGAAATCTGTCTCTTTTTTATTATTGAATAATATAAACAAATTAGGGAAAATGTGACATATAAATGTGACGATACAAGAATCTCATGGTACAACACTGACATTCTGAAAATATAAAAGACTACAACTAAGACTAATAATAGTCTATAACAGCAGTTTATGAGGTGCTACGTTATCAAACCCGCACCACTAAATACAGTAGTTGTCACAAGCTTGCAAAGCGGCCCTGAAAACAGCCTCACCTACACCCGAGGTGTGTGTCTACGGCTGTAAAACTGAACACGGTATGCTTTTAATTAAATTAAAGATTGTTTTATTCAATGTCAAACTTGGTAAAATAGCAAGGGATACAACAATTACAGTTCATGTGAGAAAGCCCAAGCTTATAATTAATTGGAAATGATCATAATAAACACTAAAAGATGTAGAATTAACATATACTGTAAATATGTATGTAAAAAAGGCTGATATGCCCATTTTTACCGCTAACAAGGATTGGCAGATTAATTTGTTATTTGATTTGAAACTGATTTATTGCTAAAATCTCACAATCTGAAATTATACTCACCTGTAAGACCTGGTGCATCTGTCGCCCATGTTGGACTTTATTCCTGCTCATGCGCTCCATGTCGGCTGGACTGTCAGAGTTATCTGACACATGAAGATCCTGAGGCAAACACACACACATACAGAGAGAGAGAGAGAGAGAGAGAGAGAGAGAGAGAGCAGGGGATGAATGGGAGCACTGGGAATACTGCTACTACAGTTGTACTGCAATGAGAACAGTGCTTTCCTTAGAAACCTTCTGCCCCACTTTTTAAGCCCATGTGACCAAACCATTATACTGGGTAATTGTTTCTACTAGCTGGACAAAACGATCCATCAAGAAAGCAGGCATTGATTTATGCCTCAATGCAAGAAAGATGACTGATTTTACACATTCACAAATCTACTTTTAAGATATAGCAGAAAGGTGTGACTGAGCCCTGCAGGTATCTAGCACATCAGATATCAGATCACTGCTTCCTCAGACCATGATGAGCCACTGTGAGTGTGACTCACATGCAGATCTTACAAACACAAACCATCCATGTTTGCAGACAGATGCTGCAGATTAGGTCCAGCTGATCGCACTCACATCAGATGAGGGGGAAACAACGACCTACTGGGGTCAGACAGACCTTAGACAATCACACACAGACACATAAGCAGCCCAGATGACTCACCATATTTTTCTGCTAAAAGCTAGTATCCACGTATAACACTGTCCCACACACAACAATTTAGTATCAGCTCAGCATTCCAAGCAAAACTGAAATAGACACAACTACTTATTATCTAGTGTCTGTTTTGTCTACCATGGACCAAACCTAAATGACTGTATGTCCTGTTTGGCTGTTGACATGTACGCGTGTTTCAAAGGAGATCGCTTTACCTTAGTGATCTGGCAATCTCCAGATATGTTAAACAAATGGATGACTTATTAAGGACATAAAATGCTCTGTAAGGCATTGGGCTACCTCCACAACAGCTTCAGTGGTTTTTGACATAGAGTCTCCATCTTTCCAAAAGATATTTCCTCATTTGGTATTTTGATGGTGGAGGATAGCGCTGTCTGTTTGTCATTCCAATATCTCCCATAGCTGTTCAACTGGGTTGAGACATTGTGACTTTGAAGGCAACATGGTATGATTCACATTATTGTCATACTCTTTAAACCATTCAGTAACACCTCTTCACCTGTTATTCTCATTTTTTCTGGGTTTTCCTTAAATTTCCCCACAGTCTCTGTGTCAGGAAATGACCACAGCAGCCCATTCACGCACCGACACATGTTGCATCAAAAAGAAATGCTTGAGCTCTTTGTCGCTCCATGCTGACATCACTAATCATTTCAAAGTCTTGGGGGAAAAAAATCACCAAAAACCGTCCACAGCTGCTGTGCTCAAAGTTTAGCCCAGGCGGAGACAACGGGGCGTTCAATCCACGTCTGATGTCACTCCAGACAAAGTCACCGGGTGAAACCACACGTATCTGACAATCGTGTCCAGTGTGTGAGTCTCTGAGGACCCAGTGACATGGAGAACAGACCGTCCCCTCTGTTCAGCACTGACACTGGACCCCTCACGCCTCTGCTGTCAGCCCACTGGCTGTCAACACTGGCCCTCTTTGAGCCACGCACTCAGACACAGGGACAGGAGAGTGGGCAGGGTAATGTGTCTCTGACTGTCTGACTCACACACATTTGCACACATATGCTCCTGCTCCCACAAGCCTCGGTTATTTAATGTACACACCCAGGCCGGAGAATAGTTTAAAAGCTTGCAAATGCGGAGCCTTCCACTGTAACCTGTGATTATGGGGTCAGTTATGCCCTTCAGAGTTGCCATGAGCTTCTGAAAATAGACACCCCCAGCCACACAGTCTGGGCTGTGACTTTTAAAGAGAAATTATTTCTGCTGAGAGTGAATGCTAACAAAACAGAGGAAGAGAGAAAATGTTACACTTAAAATGATGACCGAAATAAAGTGAAATATAGCGTTATTTTTTAAAGGATGTCATAGAAATCGACAGAAAATTGTTTACAAACACACCAGTGCTGGAAAACAGTCAACATTTTACTTAGTTCACTGACAGACATGCAGCTCTTACCATTTCTCTACTCCAGCTAAGTCCAGACAGCTAGATCCATGGGTTTGTCTGAAGTGTATCCGTAGAGCAGTGTCCACATTATTGTTTATGTCTTGCGCCTATCTTTTTTCATTCACTCACTGGGCTCCTCTGCTATTTCCCTCCTCCCAACCCCTTCTCCTCCCCATCCAGAGTGCAGAGTTACATCCACGACACGCAGCAGAGGGGGACCAGGCATCGGCACTGCCCTCCGAATGTGTCCGGACTTCTGACTAAAAGACGCCTTTTTTATTGACTTTCTTTCTCTTTTTGGCATAGAAGCCCTGTAAAGTAAAGTAAAGAACTTCAGATCCAATTTCAAAACTCTCCTTATTAAGAGAGGCGCTTGGTCAAAGTTCAGATGCTCCTCAGAGAGTCCCTGAGATGTATTCACTCCTATTGGATTTCCATTGATTGAAAGATCAGATGGGCCACACCAGATGATCAGAGGAGGCTGGAAACCAAACCCTGCAGTGCTGACGAGACCCACAGCATTGCCTATTGGTAAAGCAGGTGTTAGCAGTCTGATCCTGGGAGGATAGAAAATGTGGTGTAGGAGTAGGAGATGGAAAAGACCTTGTGTCCTCTGACTTCCTGCTCCGAGCTCTGTGCCACTGATGTAACAGTGGGTATTTCCAGTCTGAAAAACTGTTGAATAACAATTTATGATAATATCACAAGGCACGGTGGATTATAATGCATTCACTGTGCTCACTACATCAATGATGATGGGATAGAGAAATACTATGGTCCACAGGAAGTGAGTGAACACATGTTAGCCATCTTTGCAGACGTCCCACAGGAACGATTTGGCCTAGAGACAGAGAGTGGGAGAAAAACACCACTATTGATCTCACAAGGCTTTTCCCATGGTCGGAGGCCAGAGAGGAGATGGAGGAAATGAAGCAGATGATGAGTCACTGAGGAAAATAAAAACAAACAAACAGAGGCAGCTAAGTAACCAGATGGAGCAAAGTCTGCAGAGAGGGTTGATGTTCTGAGTGAGTTCCCTCAGTGATGATGTGGAGGTTACAACTGAGGGGATGAAAAGTTGCTGAACTTCCTTTAAATAGTGATAGATTAGTCACTGTAGCTACAGCAAATAAGGTAAGATGGCAGAGGAAACCAATCTTCCTAATTATGTAACAGAATGTATTATGCCAACATCTCATTTACATAGTTCAACAAATTAGATTTTTATTGATTGTTATTGTTTTCTTGTTATGTGGCATCTTATGTTATTAATTGGAGTAAATGCATTAGCACGGGTTTAAAAGTAAAAAATAAGGATGTTACTTTTTTCCAGTCAAGGAGCATTATTGTGAAGACTAATAAGATTATTAACATAGAGATTTGGAGAGGTTGTTTGAGGTATTTCTATAGCAGAAGGACCTAGGACGTTTTGTGGTTCGAGGGAATTAATTTATTCTTGGAGTGATATTCCTTGTTATTTGAATGAAAGGAATTTGTCGAAAGCTGCAAACCCACAAATGTTTCCAATTCAGTTTTAATTAGAACGCGATGTAAGGTTTCAATCCATCCAGGCAATGAAAAGAGAGCTTTTTATTTTGCCTTGGAGTTTGAGCCCACTGGCCTGGAAAGTTTAGCTGAGAGATAAATTATGCAAAATGATCAATATTAATGTCTGCCTTCTGATGTTGATCGCTGGCAATACTATGACTTAATGCAACTATATTTTCCCTGCACATGGTCTTGATGGTAATTCTGGACTGACATAAGAGAGGCCTTAGCGTTAAAACAGGTGTGTGAGCGCTGTGGCAGGATGATAAAAGTTCACCACTACTGGACAATTTTTCAGCTGCAGCATCAGAGTGTGTATTTTAGTCATCACACCAGTGTGAGGATTCCTTACAGCTCTTGAATTATGTGTCAGATGGCAGGCTCAGAAGGTACAGTTTGTGCAGTGTACCCCGTAGATACGCACTGTTCTATACTGTCTAAACTGAATTGTGGAGCTGATGTCTGCAGATCTCTGTGGGATTTCTGGACATGGCATGACAGAAGACAGGTGGATGGATCCAACCGTGCAGTCAGAGAGGTACAGGCAGCTTAAATTTATGCAGCAGCTTTCTTCGTTCTTGTATGAATTCAGGTAACGGGGACTTCCTTGCCCTGAAACCGGTCAGCACTTCCTCTCAAGCCATGCACAAATACACAAAGTTTGACAGGCCAAACCATGACCTTTGCTTTTAAACATAAGCATTTGAGTGGTAGAGCTTGTTGAGGGAGGAATGCTGCATGAGAGACACAACTGAGGACAAAACAGCCCCACATCCTGGGGGTTTCAAGGCACTGTGATAGAACATGGGGTTTCATTTCTGAAACACATTGTCAGAAAAAAACTAAATCCTGGTCTACAGCAAAAAATTAACAACATGCACACATGAATGCCATCTGGATTTTCTGATTTGCACTGCTTTGTTCAACATCAGTGTCACACAGAACACAAAGTAGTAGTCATGTGATCCCTCTGATAAAGCACGACCCCAGACGAACCAGAACAAATAAAAAACAACAGGAAGCTGCTGATATTCCCAAAACATTTCCCTTTGAGTCTCCCACCAAACAGATGTGCGGTCTTCTTTTTAACATCTCTCCACTTGCCTTTCATAACTTATCAACACGGTAATGACAACGAATGTAAGAAGAGTCATGCACACATACCTACATGCAAACAAGTCATGTAATCATGAAGTATCTTTTACCTGTTTCTCCCGTCACACAGGAAGTAAAAGAAATTTAAAATATACTCACTCACTCAGGCACATGTGCACCTCACACCTCCTGTCAGCCTGTAATTCCACCAAAGTACATTACGGACCCTCCAAGGCAGCCTGATCTCAACATAAAAGTGTTGCATTCACAGAGTCAGCTGGGTAAGGTTAATCTCTTTCCCTCTGAAACCAGATGACTTCCACCAGCTCTGTAATGTTTAAGCTATAAATGGTCACACTACAAGACCATAATAAATGATTACAAAAATGCTAACGAAAGTATGTAAACTCTGTCACTCTGCCAGTGCACGGCGAGTGAGAAATAACTGGGTCTTGTTAGGCCGAAAACAGTGAATGTAGACTGCCACAATAGCCCCATTATCAACTTCTCTCAACCACTTACTCTGTTTCTTACAACAACACACACACACACACACACACACACACACACACACACACACACACACCATAAAGCAAATGTTTTTGTTTCTCATTACCAGAGCTGGCGAGGAGCATGTTCTTGTCTGTGGAATGATTCAGTCCAAAGATTAAAAACATCTTCCCAATTCTACATCAGAAAAGTCTCCAAGTTCTCTTCTCCATGATGGAAATATGCTGTCAGCCCTTCACTGCTGTTGGGATTGCTTCAAAGTGAAATGTTCAGTGCATCCAAGTACATCTTTCTGCCGGTTCCACCCCTCTTTCCGGCCCTTTTTTTCTCTCCACTTATCATTCCTTTTTCCCATTCATTTGACTCTTCCCACTCTGTATCCCCACATTGCTCTGTGATTCTCATCCCCAGTAAACACCTACTAACTTAAATTGCCTTTTCTGTCAGTGTCCCTGAGGTAGCTATAGGTACTTTTTTGTTCCATTCATTATTTCACCGAGTTGTAATAACAAAACATGGAAAAAGTCCCTTCAGGATGAGATCACCACAAACTCATGAAGGATTAGATTGGAACAGCCAGCGTTCGTTTGCACTTGGAGAGTGACATTTCACAAAGATACTTTCTTTCAAGGCGACAATTCCTGTGGCTTTGCATCTGCTTCATGCATACGATTACATTAACACTTTACAACTACAGAAAAAGCAGAGGTAAACTGAGAAAAACGGAACATGGCTGAGTTGACTTTGTCTTGAGAAGAGCGACACTGGCAAATTTAGAGCCAATCAGGAAATTATAGTTATCACAGCCACTGTATAGTCAAGTTTTTTGCTCTCAGACTGGAATTTTTAGCCTGGCTGTTGGTGTTGGACACGTTGTCAGGGCCCGAGTAATTGGTTCAGCCTGTCCTGGGCTCAGTTCAAACTTGGTGCGTCATGCTGCTTTTGCCACTAATAAAACAGTCAAAGCAGACAGAAATATCTGCATGCTCCCCACCTCCGGAAAGGTTACGGGTGATTTTAGCTTTGTCTTGAGATGTAATGTGAAAACAAGTAATCCGCACCACTGATGGCAATACAGTGGCGACATCTCATATGGATGCCACACGTAGAATTATTAAGTGTGACTGTGGGAAGGACTGATGGATCCTCAAGATAGTTCTTTAGATATTTCATTATTTTACATAATGTTACTGATCTTTAATTTTCAACTATCTTTTCTTGGTATTATGGTGAGGGTGTATCAGTAGAATATCTGTTGGAACAATATGTGCTGTGAGCTGTCTTCAGCAGTTATTAAATGGAAATACACATGGACATCAAACACTTATCCTAGATTTTCAGACATGCAACATTTGACCTCTGGTGGCAAAGTCAGTGAAGTGCACCTTCACTGACAATGATCACCATGTTTGTTTTACTTGTGTTATTTACCCTGATTAAAGTGTCATTTCTGCTACATGCTATTATTATAATATTAAAAACAACACTACTTGCTCTATTCAACAAGCCAAGCTCACTCTAAAGCTTTAGCGAACAGGATGCAAACACTGGATTCTTGCAATTGAGGACTAGATATATCTGAGACTTCAGTAAAGCTGCTGCACTGCCTTTTTACAGCATGCTGTATCAGATTACAGTACTGTGTAGCAGTCTGGCAAGGTGTCAGAAGCCACAACTTTCTTTTATGCAGCCATGTGTCCATTGACTTGTGTGGCTTGATTTGTGGACAGATGTCCCCCCCCCCAATATGTTTTATTTGGCCAGCTGAGGTTTTGTGGTTTGCACTGATCCTTGTATAATTACACATCATTTCAGGCTGGAGAAAATACTTTAACCTAAATCCCTCTATGACACTAATTGACATCTTACATTATGAGAGCCAGGTGTCTGTTGCATTTTAGTGAATCTTAATGCACTACTAAATAGGACTTGCATTATGTACTTTATCCAAATGCTGCAGGCTTGAAAAAAATGTACTGCCTAATTCCTAGCACATGTCCTTTACATTTTGATGATGGAATAAGAGAACATTACTTAGGATTAAATTAATTCACAACGGAATGTCTGTTGCATTAGGCTCTTATGTATTTGATCTTATCACTACACTCATGCTGGTAAACTGGCTGCAGCTGTTTGTTGCTCTAAATGCAAAAAGGAAGCACCTGAAGCTTCTAGCTGAAAGAACCGTTATTGTGATGTAGGCAGTAAGCACACAGATGCACAACACTATTTAGGGCATGTTTACCTGAAGGCAGCTGCTTCCACATAAAATCCCAGAGACCGTGTACAAACAACTTGCCTAACTCTAAAACTGGGTTTATGCATCAACAACTGCCAGTTTAAGGTACACTCACTAAACCTAATGCAGTATAATACAATAGTGCTGGAATAAGCAGTCTCTTCATAAAAGGCCATGCTCATTTCTTGGTAAATTCATTTTAGCGGTTTTGATTTTCAGTGATGATTTTCTTTTGGAGGCTGTAGTTTGCGATTTTTATGTTTAGTAAGGCTTAACTGATGCTAACAAAATTGATACCCTTGAAGTTAGTCTTTGTTAAATTAGAGATAAGTCTTAGCTTTAGCTAGGTACGCTATTAAACTGGGTTGAGTATGTATCCAGGACTAACGTTATTGTTTGGACTGCGGAGACTAAACTCTTACTATAACGTCACTTTTAAGCAGAATTTAAACCGCAATGCGTTTAGCGCCATGCATTCAAGAACCTTTTCACGTTTATTTCAATGAATGGGAAATACTCAAGCACCATGTTGCACACAAGCTGCACAGTCATGCTAGAAAGAACCAGATTAACAGGACCCTGCAGATGTGGTCCAGGCATGGTGGTCAGCCATGATACATTCCTTTACCTGCAATGGCCTGCTGAATGAGTAACACTAGCATATCATTCACAGCAAACCTAGCTTTTATATAAGCCTTAACTCGCATAAAACCAGGACGCTAACGTCAATTCATAGTCTTAACTGTTATTAAACACTGAAAAGGTTAAATACAGCTGTTAACTACATCTAACTCGCCAGCGTTAGCCAACTTTCTTCACATGTTTAGCTAGTAACGTTAGCTTCAGTTCGCCTAACAACTGGACAAACGGCGAGGACTACTTATTTTATTTTTTATTTTTTTTAAAAAGCGTTTATTAAATAAAAATGCGAAAACTGAGACAGGACAGCAATAGATAGGTAATGTTGCTCTTTCATTGAAGAGTGGGTGGCCCTTAAAAGGGCCTTTGGGGTTATGTTATTAGCCAGCAGGCTAATACTCTTGAGACTGAGAGGAGGCCTTCTTTCCCGCCTTGCCGGAGCTGGGTGCAGACTGTCCGGTCTTCTTGGGCAGCAGGACGGCCTGGATGTTGGGCAGGACGCCGCCCTGGGCGATGGTCACTCCGCCGAGTAGTTTGTTCAACTCCTCGTCGTTGCGTACAGCCAGCTGAAGATGGCGAGGGATGATACGGGTCTTCTTGTTGTCCCTGGCGGCGTTGCCGGCCAACTCCAGGATCTCAGCGGTGAGGTACTCCAGGACAGCGGCCAGGTACACTGGAGCTCCGGCGCCAACCCTCTCAGCGTAGTTACCCTTGCGGAGGAGACGGTGGACACGGCCGACGGGGAACTGCAGCCCGGCGCGGGAGCTACGAGTCTTGGCCTTGGCGCGGGCCTTTGCTCCGGTTTTGCCTCTTCCAGACATTGTAAGTTATCGAATTTATCTTCCAAACAAATACCGCAATCGTAGATATGTAAGGACTAAGGAAGAAGACGCGACACGACCTGGATATAAACCTCTGCTTTGGCCCGCCCCAAGACGCGTTTGGCTTTTGGAATGAAAATAGCCAAGTATGATTGGCTTTGAGAGGGCAAAGGGGACAGGAAGTCAGTGGCTATTGGTGTAACTGCTCGGGTGATAAACCAATCACGTTGTGCCCTACAGGAGGGATAAAGGCGATTGGCTGATGTTTTTCTTGCTTGTTGTGAGTGGGTGATATGTAAAGAGGCGGACATAGAGGACCAACCGTGTGTCTTCCCTCCAGCTTCAAGTTTTTGGCGCTTTAGTTGTAAATTATGCAGCAAAAGTAAAGCAAATCTAATGCAGAATGTATGAACATTTGTGGTGCATATCAGTTTATCGGTAAACTCGTGTCTATTAAATCTATTATCAGATCATTTAAACGGTCTGTATAGCTGGTATGTGAGAATAATGTAACGCTGGAAAGTTCCACACTTAAGAAGATAAGTAGATGAGTGTTGAGCAGATTCAAAGCAGATACATGTGTAAGAAGTCATTTTACTGAGACAATGACAATGTAGGCTCCTTTAAACCTAAGTAGCTATATACATTTTTGCATTTATGCCATAAAACAAAGGGCCTTAGGGTTGCCTCCTAAAAAATAATTCATGGTCAGGCACAGGGTAAGTGATGCTTCAAAAATAATTTATTTGCAATAAATTAAACATTTCAAATATAACAGAAATCACACATATCTTAAATTCTGCAGATGCTTTCTTTTTCACATTCCACACACAGACACATTTATTTATATATATATATACACACACACATATATAAATAAATAATGCCTTTGGACATTGAAGAAGTGGCTTTGTTAATTTCTTCAGTATTATGAACTAGTTATCATTTAAAGCACATGTTGACTCCTGCTCTGTGGTCCCTTTTAATAGATATCCTTTTATTGATGCAAACAAACCTGAACATTAAATCAAAATCTTTTATTCTGGTGTTCTGAGTCTCATAAGTAATGCAGTAATTTAAAATATTGTTCCTTTTTTTCTGACACAAACATCCAAAAATGTATGTACACCTTTACACACCAGTTCTATTTGCCTTTGAAGGATGCAACAGGTTTCCTCATATCTCACCTTGTCGTAAACTTTGACAATCCTGTCCTTCCCAGTGCCTCAGCAGAGCATCTCTGAACACACCATGAGACCTCCAAGTTCTATTTTTGTTCATGTGAAACTTGAATTTAAGTGAAATACATTATGATAAGGTTTCTAAATGTTAATACAGGAGAGGTTTTGCTATGTTTAGTTTATGATCATGATCTGGTCACCATGTCTTGCAAAGCATTTTGCCTTCAACCCCTGTGAGGCATTTTGCACAGTATATGCAATTGTACTGCAGTTACAAAGTCCATATGAGCATCAACTGAAGTCTTTATAATGTGTTCAGATGCCCATTTGACTTAACTGAGTCAACAGGAGCCACAAGAAGAGCAGGAAATTATCATGTTGGTTTATTTTACTGACAGAAAAATGTCAGAATTTAAAATGTTTAAACTCACTGTCGGCTTGAAGAGTCTGCCAGAGATCCTGACTGGCTGAAGTTTCAAAAGCAAACTGAAATGCCTTATGATATTCCACAAGCTGTACTTTATGAAATAAAAAACACAATAAATATTTTATCTTTTCTACTTCTTATATAAGAGATAACATTGAACACCATTTAAAACCAATGTACCAAGCAATTGTGAATGAACATTACAGCTAGATTAAGACTGTTTTTTGTTCACTTACTTATGTATTTAAAATTACATTTGTAAGGGGGAAAAAAACACACAGTAATGTCTCTATTTTACAATGTAATGCAGCTATGATGACTTGTTTTTGGGGGATAAAATAAATAGCACTTGTGTCATGAGAACCACTTAATAATAAATTACCTTTATACAACCCAGGAATTTTACATGTGCTGTTAAAAAGAAAGTCCCAAGTGCAACCAATAGCAGCACACTGCCATTTTATATATTAAATAGTGGAAGAGCATCTCCAACATCAGTGACAATCAAACACTCCCATTATAGTTTGTGTGCAAACAGGGCACAAGACATTTCATTGTAACCATTAGCATCTCATCACCAAGCAGCAGATTTCTCCTCGAACAAAACAGATTTCATTATCACATTTTAACTTCAGTGATGTGATTAAACATGACTTCTGTCCTGAAGGTGCAATAATGTCTCTCCAGAGGAAAGCCCTCCCAGAGGTCTCCTCCTTTCAACACGTACAGGCGACAACCCGCCTGGGGCGTTCAGCCTGTCAAAGACTGGACTCTTGCAAGCTTTAGTTGTTCTTCTGACAGTAACAGAGGCCTTTTAGAACAATCCTGTTCAAGTCAGCATGAGTCATGTCCTACGCTAACAATGATAATCAGTTATCCAGTGAGCTCGACCCTCCGTTGGTAGCAGTGGCTTTGCCTTTTGATTTGCCCGATGAGCGGAAAGAGAAGCGTTTGATGAGACGTCGGGAGAAGCTGGCAGACTTTTTGCGGCTGCTGGTTGCGGCAGCAGCAAAGTTATTGCCCATGTTGGAGATGTCCTCATGGGATTGGCTGTGGCAGGACTCCTTTTCTCGATGTCTTCTGCGGAATAACAGCTTCGACCCACTCTGTAGAAAACCCACTAGAGGAAGCAGACAGAATGCATCACTGTAGGTGGTAATCCATAACTGAAGTACTGGGAACACAAACACTTAAAAAACACTAACCAATCACCCAACTACTACTATGAGTTTTCTAAATGAATTTACTGATTTCACGAGATAGCACCATTAACGTTATTCATTCAAAACCACTATGGTCTGGTTGGGTGTATGCTGCAGCATTGCCTCCAGAGGGCAGTAGCAGGACTTTACAGTCATGTTATTTGGCCTGTAAATCAGTCATTGCTCTATTTTTGATATTTATAGTTTTGATATTATGTAAGGATAATAGGCTATAGATTTGTTTGCATGTGAACTATACTGTACTATACTGTTTAATAAAATATCAGCGAATTGTGAAAATGTCTAAATCTTTTCTTTAATTTATCCTTTAATGACAAGAGAAATGGCAACAACATGCAATCCAACTGAACTGCTGAATATTGTGTTTACAATAAGCATAAGACATTACTGATTAACATTCGTGGAAACTGCGCCTCTGCCTTTGCTGCTTTTAGTGCACAGACCAAGAAGCAAAGTATGACGACTGTGTTACCTTTATGGTCCTTGAGGCTGCGGGTTTCCAAGGCACCAGTGGAACCAGTATCTGACTCCACATCGTCCACAGATGGACGCTCCGACACGTCGGAGGGTGTGGTTTCATCTGGGTCCTGGTGATGCCCCGCCCCGTAATGGTTGCCATGCATGGCTGCATCCATGGCTGCAGCGTAGCCGCTCGATAACACACAGTCATCTTCGGAGAGCGGAACCTGAAGAGTGTTAGATACTGAATCAAATTATGTTCTTTTAAAAATGTTAGCAAGATTAATTAAATGCTTATATTGAATACAGGAAGAGAAGTGGAAGTGTAACTACTTATCTAAAATTGCTGCTTAAGATGAAAACTAAATGTTATGACTATGATTTTAAAATATATACCTGCACATCACTGTGAATTTAGTTTCAGGTTTCATGTGCAGCCTCTTGCACTGAATACATTTTTACAGGCTTTCAGGTCATATCAGGTCAGAAGATTCTGTCATAATGTGATCTAATGTGAGGCTGTGACTGTCGACTAAATTTAGATCAAACTCATTTTGCCTGGCCCCACGTCATTGTATTTTAGTGAAGTTAGGTAAATCATCAAAAAAACAAGATCCAAGGTAGATTTATTTATCATTTTACAACACAGGGTTGTATAATGAGTTTGTAGTACAAACATTATAAGTGCCCAAATACCGAAAATTAGGTTATCAAAACAAAACAGTTGCACTTGCAACATTGGACACAGTTTCTATTCTCTGACCTTTGACACACCCGAGATGATCAGTGTGCTCCTTTTTGTTGGCGTCTTGCGAGCTACTTTGGACGCCGACTCTGTCAGCTGCCGAATGGCCGTCTCTGCAACAGGATCCAGGCCATTAGAGAGGCGGCTGCTCTCTGACAAAGAAAACACAAATATATCAATCAGCATTTTACCATAGAAATATACAACAGAGAAACCATACATAATGTTACATTTGTCAAACATTGTCTATTGCATTTGTCAGACTTTTTTTATACTTTGCTTAAGAAAGTAGTTTCCCTGTGTAAAGCTGTTGAAAAACTACATTAATGTTTTTGAACAGGAGTACCTGCACAGAGAGGGTTCGTGATGTGTACTGAGAAGTGCATTACTCTCATCTCGTGTTACACTGCAGCTTGCTGCGTATCCTACTTTGCATCTGTTATGTAAAGCCGTGTCTGAGTGGCCTTTAAGTCTAGGACTCACTGCAGGGGTTGGGGCTGCCTCTGCCATCTGACAGGATGGTGGGTTTCTTCTCTGTCAACTCCACTTTGGACGGCGAACGCAAAGGGGAATCACCTGAATGGCATCACAACTATTTTATGGCATTGTTAACATTACCACAACATGCTTCTATCTCTTGTTGTACACCTACTCTGGCACAATGTAACTCTGTAAATGTACCTGGACTGCGTTCCAGTTTAAGTCGAGACTGGACGGTCGTGACAGTGGTGACGATGGTTCCATCTGGCATGATGGTTCGGTCCACATCGACTTTCTTGGTGGGGGTGAGTGAGGAACGAAGTGACAAAGCATTGTGGGCGCTGCGAGGCTCCTCTGTTTCCACATAAAGCAGCTGGAGGAGTCAAATAAACAATAAATGAACTTTTCATTTAGCAAATCAAATGTGAAGATGGGATTGGGTACTTCATTAAAATTGTGCACTTTATTAAAGAGGTGGCCACTTTATTTAAACTGACATGTGGACCTGCGGGGAAAATGTCAGCTGACTAATCAGTGGTAATCAGGTATAGCAGGTTGCAGGAGAGGTATAAGACATGTCA